AGATCCATCATTGCCAAGAGCTCCCACACGCAGCTTCCCAAAGAGGACGGGTTTCATTTCCGCACCTAAGGAGTTTAAAACTCAAGAAATGCCTTTGTCATTGAACAGAAACTTTTCTTTCCTGACTCGAGTCATTCCCCAAACACCCAGATACACACTCAGACCACTGGCGATAAGAGGTTTGGTGGGGTTTCTTTTTTTCCAGAGCCCTTCAAAGGGCACAAAACCCAGGAGAAAAATCTTATCAGGCAGATAAATGCACTTGCTCATAGACTTGGACACACGAACCCCATATACAAAGCTTCAGGAGACTAATAATGTGGGTGGAAAATTAAGGCACCTCATAAAAGGTTTTTAGTAACAGGGGAACAGATCACATCAACTTGGAAAGGTTAAAGAAAGCAATTTATAGACACTAATTAGGGCCTCTTAAAAAAGTGCCTTTGCAAATGACAAGGTAGGTTTTATTCCAGAAAGGTGCACAGGGAGCGTGGCAGGAGCTGCCTGGGGACGGCTCCTGAAAGGCTTTACCGCGCTCGTCATTACCGCACATTTACGGGAGATTTAAGGGTCGGCATGAAGGGAAACGCGTGGGATGTATTTATACGAATAAGCTGTGCAATATCTGTGCCCTGCCCGGGGAAATCTCCTCCACGCTGGCGCAGGACCCAGCGAGCCCCAGGCTTGCGCCTGCTGCTCTGCTACCAGGAACCTTGTCGCTGGATGCCATGCCCAAGGTCATCAAACCTGAGTTTTCATTCACTTTCTGCCTCACCAGCCGCAGGGATCTGCATGGTTACACTCCTGCAGAAACACTGCTTTATGCAACGCTCTGGCTCTGACAAAGTTTTGCTTGCAGGATGAAGTGCCAGAAGGTGGGAACTGAAGGATTTTGCAGTGATGCTTCCTGGAGCCACGGCTGGGGGAGGGGGCAGCGGGAAGGCAGGAGAAACCAGGGCACCTCCAGCACTGCTGGAAGGTGAATCGCTCCTTCTGGGGCTTTATTTCTCCGTTGGGAACAGATCACCCCCAGCAACACGAACATCTCCAGCTTCTGCCCTTGCAGCTCCCCCTGCAAAGGGACTTCCACTCGTCCATACAGGCAGCCACTTAACCCACCTCTGGGATCTCTTTTCCTCAATTTACAGAACACCAGCTCCTCTCCCTGTGCGCTGGGGCTGCTTTTATAGGAGCTCAGCGACGTAGAAAGACTTGGACCCGACAGCCGTGCAGCAACTGGGGCTGCTTTCAGGGATGAGGTGCCACCCTGGGAACAAGACGACCAGCCACCCCCCCCAGTTTCAGTCCATCACCTGGCAGGACAGCCTCCAAGGGCCACTGCGGCCCTTGCAATTTCTTTGCAATTGGTACGGTAGCTTCTAAACCATTGCTTTGTTGCGTTACGAAGCAACCCTCCTTTGCAGCATTCAGAACAGCCCGGAGGTTGTACACAACACTGCCGCTCCCTGTAAGCTCTGTACACGCTATTCCACTCCAACCAGCTCAGATCCTGCCCAGAGCTGGGTGAGAGCTTGGACATATTTCCACTTAAAACGGTGACTGTGTGTGACATCCCTCCACAGCATGTGCTTCCCAGCTCCTCAGAGGGGGAGGGCGGAGCAGGTCCAGTATGGCAACTGGGAGTGCTCCTCTCTCACCTCGGAGCCGCCCCAAGAACTGTCTGGAGATATTTCAGCTTCCCAAACCAAAGGTCCTGGCCAGCCCGCTGCAGCCCAGGGGGACTGCTGCCCTCAGTCTGGGGTCACTGCCCATCACCTACTTCTCCCCAGCACAACTGTCCGCTCACATCTGCCACCAGCATGTTTGTGGCTCCCTACCCTGGTTCTGTCAGCAGAGATCCAAAGGAGCTTTTAATAGCAGCCTGTTCGTTAAATCTGGGATATTTTGATGGATCTGTTGCAGAAGATGCGAGGAACGAGCAGGCAGGAGCCATCACCCCTTTGCAGCTCCTGCCCACGCTGGGGCTGATGCTCCCCAGGAGGCTTTGCCTTCTGTCCTGCTTCGCCACCATGCAGATAACAGCAAATCTGCAACACTCTCAGTCACAGCCAAACCTGGATTTCTTACATAGGAAAGAAGTCATCTTCTCTGAGGCCATCACGTTTGCACAGCCAGAGAGGTCACAGGGTAGGTGGGAAGCTGGGGGGCTCAGACAGTGGCCGTGCCATCGATGGCAGAAGGAAGCAAGGACAAGGGAAGGTGCAGATACCCGTGGGTGCATGGGAGCGGAGCAAAACGAGTGCTGCTGTTTCAGTTACACCTGGGCCAGACACAGGCAAAGGACAGGTAAGTCAGCACATCCAGGTCCTCAGGCACACGGGGCTGCTCCCGAAGAGCAGGGCAGGGTTTCACACCCACCGACTCCATCAGGAGGTTACGCCAACAGCACAAAGCACCTTCTGAACAAAGAGCCAACAGCTATCCAACCCCGCTTTCTTTTCCCCAGTTTCATCGCACAGCGCCTACTACCATCCCCTCTCCCACTTCTGAGGTGAGAATGCCAAAAATAAATACAAAAGTACAGAAAAGTAGCAAAGAATGGAAATGGCACACCTGCGCGGGGGTAGCTCGGAGGTGGCACGTGCCAGCACCCCCAGCTCTCTTAGAAGCTAAGAAGTTCACGTGACGAAGGTTAATCACTTAGATTTCTCCTCCCTCTCCACTTCCTACATGGAAACAAAAGATGATTCATACACTGAAATAATCATCCAGGACATCCAAAAGCCCACAAATTCCCTCACTTTGTCCAAGGGCACGATAAAGAATTTTCCCAGTTTGGAACCTGGGTTTGACTCTGTCCCCTTCTCCCTCCCCCCCGTTCATACTGGTCCCACAGCATAGAGTGGGCAGGGCAGGGACAGAATCTGTCCATATGCTATTTTTAGGACTTAAGCTTTTAAATTCAACCTGGTTTGTGGTAAAATAATTTGAGGGATATGAAAAATCCAGCTAGACAGGGGAAGCACTTGTGACAGCAGGGATGCTGCCCATGCCCTCTCCGACGGGTGGAGAGGGCGATTTTCCACCGCGCAGGGAAGCATCTATCACACTTGGTGTAATCAACATCCCATCAGAAAGAGCGACCAACGGTTAAAGCTCACTACCTGGGCTTGCCTACCGGAAGAGCTCAACACGATTATAGTACCAAAAGGGACCTGCAGTGATGGGTTTTCCCTTACAGGAGGAAAAGAGGAAAGCTGTGAGCTGAAAGCTCACCCCTTGCACCCCCGCCGTGTCCACATGCAGCGCAAGACCGTCACCCACAGAACCTCTGACACCAACTTTAGTGCTGCTGCCCGCTCACTGCCATCAGGGCGCTACCCTCCGCCAGCGCCATGTCCGCAAACACCTCTGCCATTTGCGCGTCTCGCACAATAAAAAGGCATTTGCAAGGCAGACAGTGGAGGAGCTTTCCTCCTTCCATACTGCCCAGATCCAAAGCCAGAAAGTGCAGGAAGCAAGACAAGGTCGGGCTGCTCGCAGACCTGTTGGCCCCATCGCACCCTCCAGCCCAAGCACCGAGCAGAGGCACCAAGGGGAGAAGGATGAAACACTCGTTATCCACCCCAACATGGTGACCTGTCACTTATGTGACAGGGCAGTTTGGTACAAAACCCTGCCAAACGTCTGTAAGCACAGGTTGAGGCGACACAAGTCATAAATCCGTCATCTCAGGCAATGCCAACAGACAAAATTTCACAGCAGGGCTCTAGCTGGGGCTCTCCTAGAAGTCCAGGACAGCTCAGAGTGAGAAACACAGGTTCAGCTCAGCACTGAGCTGGAAGCAACTACTAAACCTTTAAAGCAAGGAAGAAACAAATAAAAGCCTGCAGTTTCCAGGGCATTATCACAGCTCTGCTCTCCCAGAGAGAGGCTACAAACACACACAAAACCACCGGCACAGCAGGGCCTGGCAAATGCTCGTAACACACTCCCCAGGCAGGCACTGCTGTCCACCAAAGCGCTCCGCTTCCAAACGGGCAGAAAGCGTGCAGGGAGGGACAGGGGGACAGGTCACGGTGCACAAAAGACCTTCTCAGAAACAGGGATGTGACTCTAGGGGGGTTCCTCACAAGGCAGGACAAGGTCCTGAACTTTAACCCACGTACCAGGCACGTACATACTGATTTTCGCAAAGATGCTGGGAAGCAGAGCAACAGGCACTAGCAGAGATGCAGCTCAACTGGCTGGTTTCCTATTCCTTGTCTCTGCCATGCCAAGGGATTGGGACGACCAAACCTATTTTGCTACCTGACCAAACGGCAACCCCAAAGCCTGCTCCAGGTCTCCTCAGAGAAATGTTTTTACTTCTCTGCAGAGAAGCAAGCTTTTGCCCCCAGAGCTTACTGGTTTTCCCTCATGCTGTGCTGCAGCTAATGGGGATTGACTTTCAGATATTTTTTTTCCCCTCCCATCAGATTTTGAAGCACTTTGATCCACTTTGAAATGTGGTGCAATTAAACTAATTTCTGAACAATTTGGAGTTCTTTTCTATAGGAAGCATTAAGCAAAACCATGCTTTCAAGTATTCTGAAAAGGGAAAAAAATTAATACATCCATGTAGCTCTCAATCCATCGCCCCAAGCAGGGAGGCTGAAGAGATTTACACAGACAGACTTCTGTAAAACCACTGAGAGGCACACCCAGAAGGCGAAGAAGTATTTCACACCTTCTGTAAGTAGAAAGTGTGAAAAGGAAAGAGATGAAAGCTGCCTCCCTTTCCCAAAATCTCGGTCAAAGCCCCTGTTCTATCCTGGCATTTGTGCGCCCACTCCCGATGTCAATCTAGGTAACGTTGGTGTCACACAGTGCTTTGGGACTCCTGTAACTATGACAGAGATGGCAACACTCTTGAGCCCAACCTGACATCAAGGGTAGTCCTGACCACGGATGCCAACACAGATGCCTCTGCACAGCACAGCACTACACGGACCTCACACACGACCAGACAGAGAAATCGCTGGATACAAGAGCCATACCTTCCTCCAAGTCGTTCCTCAGCGAAGCCTCCAGCAGAGCAACACTGGCTTCAAAAGACACTTTCTTTCGGTTAATGGTATTTCTCTTCTTCTCGTGCTTCCGCTTCTTGTGCTGCATCTCCTTCTCGTACTGCGCCCATTTCTTCAGCTGCTGGGCCCTCCGCTTCTGGGCTGCCCGCAGCCTCTCCAGCGTGGGCACCTTGTCCAGCAGCTGCAGCTCTGTCAGGAGGTCCACGTGGGCATCCATCGCTTTGGCCAAGACAGAGGGGGCGAAGGCTGTCCCAGCAGGAAACGATGTCCCACCGCAGCTCCTCTGGATCGCAGCTGCTCACTGCTATACCAGCATCTTGAGGCTGAGCTGGGAAGGGCCCATCACAGTGTCCAATGAGAATATGGTGGAAACCTGAAATGAGGAGGAAAGCATGAGGGAACAAGTCTCATCAGCTGGTGCAGACAAGCAACTCAGAGCAGTCTGTTGGAAAATGTGACAGGCAACACCTACCATCTCAGAAAGGCTTAAATGTGCTTTCATCGCTTGGTTTTCTTGCTGGCCTTTGTGACTGCACCCTTCACCCACTCCCAACACGCAAGCAAAACCCTCATGGTTAAGCAGTAGTTTCAGTGCGAAACTCATTCACGCCTATAGTTCAAGGTAGCCCTCTCTTAGGAGCTGAAGAAAGTCTTAATGAGCAAAGATCTTCCATAGTATTTGTCATCATTCCTCAGACAAATCAGGAGAGGTTCAAATACTGAGACACATCCCTCCTTCCAGCTGGCCCTCCCAGTGTGACCATCACCCCCCGTTACAGGTGTCCCCAGCACCGCAGCCCGGACTGCACTGCACCGATGCACACCAGCACCCGCCTGCCCGGAGCAGCTCAGCCCGAGCAGCAAAACACAGGGCAGAGGGGCCCAAGGCTGCAGCGGCAGAGCCCAGGGCAGCCACAGACACCGGACGAGGCCATCCCTGCACAAATAACCCAGAAGCCAGAGCCTGGAGATGCACGGGGTTGCCCACCAATGCTTAGAGGCCACACAAGTTTTCCCAGAGGAGCGCTACCCACCAGGAGCATCATCTGTGCTCTCCTACTTCATCCATCAGCCCCTTCTCAGCCCAGCCCTAGCCAAGGGCAGAAGGATAGGATGTGGCTCCCATTACTAACACTTAACTGCCTCAGCTACTTAAAACCATAGGGGTTTGTGTTCATTTCTCTCTTCTTTCGGGTTTTTCTTCACCACACACTAGCTCATTCTGGTTTTGCTGTACGGGCTCCACAAGCACAGCACTGAGAGCAGCTAAACCAGACTCTCGGTGTAACCACTACAGAGACCTCTGAGCAACACTGCCCACAGAGTGATCAACCAGGAGACCCACGGGCAGCCACCCAATTACCTGCTGCACAGCAGGAGGAAACATGCCCCAGATTTAAGGGGCAGTCCAACAGGGAAAGGCGTTTTTGAAATAAAGCCAACGTCACGAGCAACTTGAATGAGTCCTTTCCAAACAGACCCGTGCAGAGCACATCAAATGACAAGGTGAGCGTGCCAAATCGAAGTAAGCTGCAAATAAACCCGTACGAGATGAGAGCTCTTATGGTTCAGCTAGCTTGGGAACAAAAAAAAGTTGATGGGGAACTATTCACGAGCAACCAAGAGCACCCCAACTAGGCAGCTTGCTCAATTCTCCTGCTCCAAAAGAGAGGAGGCAACAGTCTCAAAAGCAACGGATACAAAACATCTACGGAAAAAACAGCAGCAGCAGAGAGGTAGCTAAGCCCAGGTAAGAGATGTGGGGAGGATATCAAACCTTACCTCACCCAGCCAAGCCAGGAAAAGCCACCGTCCATCCCTCGTCAGAGGGTGAGGCACTGCTCCGAGGAGTTGCAGGGAAATGTTCATGCCATGCAGCACATCCACCACGTCCCAGTGAATTTTGCAAGGTCCACTCCTTTTCAAACACTGCTTCAGACCTTCCGCAGGGGTTTGACCTTACCTATAAATATCTCGGCAGACTGACAGCGAGGCACGCTGTTTCCTCCGCGAGATAATTGGTTTGAGAACTGAAAACAAACACACACAGGCGGGTCTGGGGCAGTCGCTTTATCCAGCCAATGGCCAACAGAAGGCCAAGGGCAGCTTCAGCAGTACCTGCAAACCTTATTTTGAGGGTTTCAGAATAGACCTGAACAAAAAAACTCAAACCCTGCTCTGTCCTGTGAGAAATTAAGAATGCAAAAAATGCTTAAGTTTCACACAGGGACAAACCCAAATCCTCGCAAAGGTTTTCATAAGCGATACTACGTAGAGATTCAAGCCCTTTCCCAGGATGGAGACTATCACAACTTCAGCATGCCACAGGGAAGCGTGCCACGGCTCCTCCATGGCATGAGAGCCCCACACAGCTCTCCCTGACCCCTGCCCACAGCCCCCACAAGCTGGGACTCACCACAGCCCCCAGAAACACTGCCGACAGGAGTGACATAAACACAGCCTACTTTCCAAAAAGCTTTTATTTTGGGAGAGAGGTGTTTTCCAAGCACAGGCGCTCTGCTGGAAAGCTCCTCACCACCTCTTGTGACCTCTGCTCCGCACAGCGCAGCTCCTGCCCTTTTTTTTTTCCTGGGAAGGTATCTTTTTTGGCCATCTCTGCTCCAGTAACACAGGCTGCAGATCTGAAGCCCCGTTTACAATACCTCGAAGGAGGGGAAATAAGGGCAGGAAATGCTTCTCGGCATACCACACGCGGCACTCCCACCCTGCTCCTTTTCCAGGCCACTTCTGCCATTGTTCGCTGAAAAATGAACAGATATTTTCCAAAACACACCTGAAGCAGAAACGAGGACCTAATCTTGCAGGCTTATTGAAGAAAACGAACCTTATTTCAGCATTTCCCTGCTTACCCCAAAAAAAAGCTGGGAGCTTTCTTACTGGTATTGGGAAGAAATTCTTCTCTTGGGAAGAGCAACAGGACACTGAATCACAAGGAGGGAAGCATGGCTTGTTCTGCTTGCCCGTGTTGCAGCTTTCCTGCATCCACCTCGTCCTCCGGCAGCAGCTCTGCTCTCACAACAACAAAAGGGAGATTCGTGTGGCTCACAGAAGGGGATGAAATAGAGAGTGGAGCTTGATGAACACCAGGAGACATCTTCTGCTCCCAGAAGTACCAGCCACCAGTATCTCCTCAAACCAACCAGCAAATGAACATCTAGAGGAGCAGAGAGCTCTCCTGAGAGGCCTTCCTGGAGGGGACACAGCCCAACTTCTCCCAGACTTCGGTATAAATTCCCTAGCACTTTCCAGGGACGTCAGAGCCTCGCAAACACTTTGGCTCTGTCGCTCTGGCTGCCTGTTTTTCAATGACCTCGTTTCTTCCCCCTACCAAAAAAAATGGCACATTGACTTGTCATTGCAGAAACTGGTCAGTCTACAGCACAGTTTCGGGCCCCAGCATTTGTTTACCTGCAAAGTGACACAGAAGCTGGTTGTGTGGGTGTCTGTGGTTTGCAAGGCATCACATTTGGGTTTGTTTTATTTAAAGAAGAGGGGAAAAAAAGAAAAGTGCTATTCCTCGTGTTCAACTGAGCTGAGTTTCCATGAGCTCAGCAGATCTGCTTGCCGCCGTGCTGAGCACATCCTGCCAGACGCACGCGGCCCCCAGCCCCGCTGGGACAACGGCAGACTATTTTGGGGGCCAAAAGGAAGGCGAGACACTCACTATTGTATTACGCTCATGCCATTGCCATCCTCTCAGCGCCACGGCAGGGAAAGTCCCGCTCCAACCGTGTCAAAGATCAGACCCTCCCTACAAAGGGCATGAAGAGTTGGAAAATACAAGCTTTTTTCTAAAAAAAGTTTGCATTTCCTGTACATTTTTCCTCACCTTAGTACAAGCTTAGTCTCACTAAGTTCAAAAGGACTATTTCAGGGCACCGATTACTCACTTGTGTCGCAAGAAGTGACTGGCAATTCCGTGCAGTGAGTTTACTGAGTCAGTGCTTGCAACAAGCTGCCTACCCTCTACCACCCACCCTGCCTGGAGCGGTCCTGCGTCTCCCACGCACACACCTCTTCCCATTTCAGTCTTAGAGGTTGGCGCTCACCATCCCACAAAGGAGAAAAGCAATTGCATTTATTTTTCTGCTCCAACAGAGAGCTGGCCTCTCTCAGCCTTCCCACAACGCATTCAACTTGCAGACACTTTGCCATAATACTGCTGAGGTGGGAGCTGGAGCCACTGAAAGAGCCGTGCTGCTGGAGAGCCTCCTCATCTCCCCGCCAGACGATGAAGCTGGAGCTCAGACCTTCAAATCCTCCATCACATCTCCCTGAAGAACTACTTAAAGCACAGCATGACACTGAAGCAGAACACAAACACTTGTGAGAGTCCTTCACATAAGTGTCATCAACTGAGTTTAGGTTTATTCCACTTAAAAAAAAAAAAAAAAACAACACAAAACAAACACAATCCATGGAAGAGCAACCCTTGAGTGGAACTGGGACTCCTTAAAATGAAATAGATTCAGCAACTAGAGAATTCGAAGATGTACGTCTTTCAAGCAAAGGTGAACTTCAAGACCCAGGTATGTGAGCAGCCTTTCTCAAAGTCAAGAGGATCATTCTCATTCACTGGATGGCTTGTGGGAAAGCACCACCAGGATTGGGCCCAACTTATTAGGTGAAGTATCTGTGTTTGCAGCATAAAGTCAAGACAGTGGCACAAAGAGGGACAGAAATAGCCCTCTCCTCCCCACCCCAGGCTAATCTTCTCTCATCTGGAATTGGAAACCAAGCATGAAAGCCTATAGCAAGGACCTGAGCACATAAGCAGCCTGCAGAGGAGGTGGCTGCCCGATTCATTTATTTCATTAGCATCCACTACTACACCATGACAAGGTGCAGAATTACTAAATTTACCTCTTCTGCTCTCTATGAGGGCCAAGTCCAATCTATGCTATTCCTGCCCCACAAAATGCTAGATGACCAGCCCTTTTGCTGCACCCATTCTCCAGCTATGAGCCCTGGTGAAGAATTCACAGGCTTCTCTTTTGGGCATCACCCTCAGGATCATCACTGCTTGGCAACACAAACCAGCTGAAGATGCACGGCCTGTGTTGCGGTTTCTGCTGGTGGCCAGGATCTTCCCAAGGTCTGGAGGAAGCAACAGAGCTGCTTCCCACGATGGGGAGAACCCCGCTCTGGCAGCCAAGAAGCTGTAACTCCAGAGATGGTCAGACAGCCACTGAGAGCAGGAGGTGACAGATTGAGGGACAGGCAGGAGCAGCAGGGAAAGGCAGGCACAGGAATTCAACTGTCCCCAAGGCAGAGGACACAGCGGGGCTGCTCTCTGGCTGTATGGATGTGCCAGAGGGCTAATTAGACTTAAAGAGCTGAGGTCCATTCCCC